ATCACGTTCGTAGGAGCGTGGGCGGGGGCGAGCGCGTGTCTGCGGCGGCCACATCAGCCAGGCCCCGTGTGCTAGGCGGCCTGGGACCGAGGCCACATCTGTGAGCCGTCCTCCAGCACCTGCCCGGTGCCCAGCAGCACAGCGAGTCCACGGTGCGTCCCTGCGGCCCGGCCGGGATCACGGCAGTGACGGAGTCGGGGTTTTTAGCTCCCGGTCTCCACGTCTTGGCCCATGAGAATTGAGTGCACAGGGAGACCTGTTTGAAAGAGCTGGGGAGCAAAGGACAGCAACCAGTGCTGGCTCCAGCTGCGCTTGGGAGGCGGAGCAGGTCCGCGGCCGCCCAGAGCCCCGCGCTGCCCGCAGTCAGGCGCCCCTGCCCCCGCCTGTGGGACCTTTCAGCTGAGCTGTCCTGTTTCTCCCTGAGCCTGCGCTGGAGGAGCTAAGGACCCCACCACCGGAGAAACGGAGCCGAGACTCTGTTGTGTGGCAGACCGGGAGGCAGGAGGCGCACGCTACCCTGGTCCCACCCCACCTGCTGGCCTGCTGGACTCTGGCTACGAAGAGACCATCGAGCCGCACTGATGATTTCCCAGCTACACAGCGGAGATCAGGAAAGGGCCCCTCAGAGAAGATTCGGGGCCCGTGTGTGTGCCACCAAGATAGCACTTTTTTTTAACTTTTTTTTTTTTTGCCTTTCATGTCACCTGACTTCAAAGCACTTCAGCTAGCCCAGCTCTGAGGTCCCTGCTGGCCCTGGAGGGCTTCGATTCCAATTAACACGCAAAAGAACCTGTGCTGAAATCGGGCAAAGCCGGGTGGCAATGGAAGGAGCAGTTGTGCCTCGTTTGCGTCCTGTCTCAGTTCTGGCCCGTTAGAATTATCAGGGTGCGCACAGGTGAGACGGAACAAAACCTCGCCGTGAGGAGCAGGGGCTGCCGGGGGTGACACCCCGTGCCTTGGACCGCCTGTGGAGCGGGCAGGGTCTGGGAGTGGGGGTGCAGGAGACCGGGGAGGAGATGCAAGGTGCCTCACACGAGAGGGGGTGCTAACAGCCCGGCATCTGACGGCTCCTGTCCCAATCCTGGCCCTGCCACAAGACAGAGGGCTCCACGCCCTCGAAGCGCAAGAAATAGGTGCCTTGGCTCTGCTAAGTCAAACCCAGCACCGGACAAGCTCACACCCAGCCACGTCATTGTTTGTGACCGTGTCCCTTCTTCACCGAACAAGTGTAATAGCCATCATGACGGTCACACTGTGTGCGCTCTGAGGATAAACAAGACAAACAGGTGACGTGTCAGGTCAGGTGCGGGCAGCAGGGCTGCGAGGTGGGAATGCAGAGGGGTCAAGGCAGCTGGCTCTGATGGAGACGCCCAGGACGGACCTGGGGGAAGCGAGAGGCGAGGTGGACAATTACATGGAGGCAAGGAGTGGCCGGAAGAGGGCGCTGCCCGGGCCAGGCCCCCCCACAGATCTCGATTTGTTCCAGGGCGTGGAAGGAGGCCAGGGTGACAAGTGAGAGAATGCCCATGATTTCAGGACCTGTGTCCCACTGTGAGATCGGCTTCTGGGAAACAGGAATCCACTGGAAGACTGAACCGAGAACCACAAGACTCCAACAGGCCAGCAGGGCCGTGCGGGCTCCAGCGCGGCTGCAGTCTGGGCAGAGTGGAAGAGCAGTGAAGCGGTAGCCGCACACGCGGCTCGCGTGGGCCCAGCCTGCTGTGCAGAGCCCAGGGCAGGCCAAGCCGCACAAACGGGCGTCCTCTGACACACACAGTTGCCCAAGGCAGCTGGCTGTTCAACTCAATGATTAGGTCACTGCTTGGAACACCCACGGCCCATACCAGAGTACCTGGGTTCAAGTCCCGCCTCCACTTCTTTTTTAAAGACTTTTTATTTATTTATTTATTTATTTATTTGAAAGGCAGAGTTAGAGAGAGAGAGAGAGACAGAGAGAGCGCTTCCAGCTGCTGGTTCACTCCTCAAATGGCTGCAATGACTAGGATTGGGCCGTCCAGGTCTCCCACAGGGGTGCCGGGGCCAAGCACGTAGGCCATCCCCCACCGCTTTCCCAGGTGAATAACCAGGGAGCTGGATTGGAAGTAGAGCTCAGCCAGGGCTTCAACTGGTCACAGGCGGCAGCTTCACCCACTGCCCCACAATGCCAGCCCCTGGCTCCACTTGGGATCCAGCCTGCTGCCTACACACGCCCTGGGAGGTAGCAGCTGATGGCTCCCGTGCCTGGGCTCCTGCCTGCAGCCTGGCCCGCTTCCAGCTGCTGCGAGCATTTGGGGGAGTGGGAGTGAGGTTGAATCAGCAGATGGAAAAATCTCTGTCTCCATCTCTCTGTCGCTCTGCTTTCCAAACACATAAACACAAATTAAGAAAGTGCAGTTAAAGAGATCAAATGAAGACACACTGTTGGCACCCCAGGCAGGTCAGGATGCCTTGGCCGGTGAGGTAGCACCCTGGCTGGTTGGAATGGTCTGCTCCCACCGGAGGGCACAGAGAAAGCCAGCTCGCCCTGTGTGCCCCCCGGGCCGGCCTTCCGCTCCTGCTGGCCCTGTGTGCCCCCCGGGCCGGCCTTCCGCTCCTGCTGGCCCTGTGTGCCCCCCGGGCCGGCCTTCCGCTCCTGCTGGCACGTCCACTGTTGGCCCTCTGCCCTTGTGCTCCCTGGAGACAGGCATAGCCCCTCTGATTCCTGGTGCGACCACCCAGCCCACTCCTGCTGCTGAGGGCTCAGTCTCTACTTCCTACCACAGACTGCCGTGCACCCCGGGCCTGGCGCAAGGCTGGGCACTGTTGGCAGACCGACCCCTGACGGTCCCTGCCCGGGGGCGCTGGCCAGGGAGTCTCAGGGGACACTGGGGGACGCTGCCTGGCAGAGAGCCCAGCAGGGAGCCAGGGCGGAGCCCCCTCTGCCCGAAGGGCCCCAGGATGCAGGGGAGCGTTCTGCTGCCACTCCCGCCTGTGGGCAACACCAACCCAGCCCCTTGAGGACTCAGCCCGCGCAGGCGCTTCCTCCAGTCTGCTCCCACCCCCCACCCCCCAAGCCCTTCACTCTGCCCAGGGTTCTTGGGGGGAGTGGGCACGGCCCTCGCTACACCCTCCTGTTCTCACCTGGGAGGAGGAAGGAGTGTGCCGCCTCTGTTCCAGTCTCAGACATGTCCAGACTTGGGGGGCCTCCGGGCAAAGGGATGGGGGCGGGGGCTCCCCCACAGAAGGCTGCCAGGGCTGCTCCTGCGTGCCTGGGGGGGAATGTCTTTGGGGCAGCTCGCACCTTCTCAGGGCTCAGGACACCAAACCCAGGAGCCCAGGTTGGCCTTGCTGGGAAGGCAGTTGGGGGGTGGGGGGGTTGCCCTTTTCCTTGGCAGATGAGGGCACACAGGAAGAAAAGACCAGCCGCGAATTTGTGTCTGGGCATCTCATCCTATCCCACAGTCACGTCGCAAATTCACAGCACCAAGGTCACCTAGGTCACAGCTGGCACGCTGCGCTGATCCGAAGCCAGGAGCCAGGTGCTTCCTCCTGGTCTCCCATGGGATGCAGGGCCCAAGCACTTGGGCCATCCTCCACTGCACTCCCGGGCCACAGCAGAGAGCTGGACTGGAAGAGGAGCAACCGGGACAGAATCCGGCGCCCATATGGGATGCCAGCACCACAGGCAGAAGATTAACCAAGTGTGCTAGGGTGCTGGCCCCAGTCTTCTCTCTCTCTCTTTTTTTTTTTTTTAAGAAAAAGAAGTGTGAGTTAATTTTTGGCACACAAAAAAATAGCTTTTTGTAGTACATGGAAAAAGTCTTATAAAAAACCCTAAAGGTTGGATTTCAAAAAATTGCACCATGATGAGCTCATAGTTCTGCTTTTCTGTGAACTTTGCGTAGAACCCTGGTCTAATCGTACGTGGCGTTCAGCCCCTAAGAACACGAGAAGTGGTTAAAGGGAAACAGCAGAGCAACTGGATTTAAAGTGTACCCAGCTTCCTCTCCGTTAGGGTGAAGCATTCCAGAGAGTCCGGCTCAGTGGGCTCCGGCCCAAGGAAAATGGGACAGAGGGGCCTGGAGCAAGGGGGCTCGTGGCCACTCCCAAGGGTGTCTCCCCAGACGTGGTGGGAGGGAGTCAGGACACCCGGGGCGGCAGCTGGGTGAAGAAGCAGAGGAGGCCTTGAAGGGGTCGCCGTGGGGGCCATGCGCTCTGAGGAGCGACAGTCTGCTCGCTGCCCGCCAGGCTCCTTGTGCACACACAGCCCCTCCGTCTCAGGTCCATGGCTCAGGGCACCCATCCTGGACACCAGGGCGACAGATCCTTATTGAAGGCAAAGAGGGCGGCGAGCCAGGCTCTAGCTGCAGAACTGGCTGCCAGGCCGGGCTCCTGGGAGCCATCCAGGACCCGCCTGCAGCCTCGGGGCCTGTGCTGGACACCTGCGGGACAAGGCCTGCTGGCCGCAAAGCTGAGGTCACCAGTGTCCAGGGTGGGGGAGGCACTGAGACGTATTCCCTTTCCCCACTAAGGGAGGCGGCTTCCTCCTGCAAAGAGAGGGCTCTGCCCGCCCAGGCCAGCAGTCAGGCAGGGCGGGTGGGCGGGGCAGGAGGGCAAGGATGTTAACAACACCTGGGATGTTTCCGGTGGCCCCTGGGGACACTGTGACTATAAGAACCAGGATGGTGACTGCCGACCCCAGCGTTAGCTCTATTCCTGAAAGCAGAAGTTCTCAAAATGCAAAACACACCTGCTCTGTTAAACACTTAGAAAGCCTGCCCCGCCCCCCCGCCGGCTCCGGCTGCACCTGCACCCACTTAATCACAAGGGGGTGCATCTGTGCTCCCAGGCTCTGCCTCCGAAACACCTTGACCCCAGGTAGCTCAGAAAGCCGGGGTGCAAATGCCCAGTGCTGGTCCCACTGCGCACAGGGCACAGGGCCCCCTGGCCCACCCAGGCGCTGCGGGTGGGGGCTGCACCTTCTGCTATCTGCGAAGCATTTCCTGCCTGGCTTCATTAGCACGTTGGTGGCGTCGCTTCCTGTGGCTGACTCTCCGTTTCCATTCTGGCAGAGAGTGGTTTGTGTTTTTTTTTTTCACACAGTTTTGGGGGTGAGAGGAAGATGAGCTTCACACGGGGCCTCTCCTGGGCCTCTTGGCAGCCTGCCCCGCTGTGCCCCTCGCGTCTGCTTGGGAAGACAGAGCTGGGAGGCTGGGCCTGAGCCTCCTCACTCCGGGAGCCCCTGCGCCCAGGCAACCATCACCACCGACGGCAGACATCGCGGCCACAGCCAGGTAGCACCAAACCTGTTGTCTGTGACGTGGGGTCAGCTGGGCCTGGCACTTCGGGGGCAAGACAGCATGTTGGGGGCGGGGGAGAAAGTTCTAGAACAAAAGATGTTTAGGAAGAAAGTAAAACCGAAATACTGCTTTCGTGAAGGACTTTGGGGAACAAAGATTTAAGAAGAAGAGGTTTTGCAAGTTTTGATGGTGTGTCCGGGAGTATTGGGAAGACGGGGTGACCAGGAGGTCTCTCACTCTACGTGATCTGCTGCAGAACCAACAACAAGAAGTGGTTACATGCAAAATACAAACCCATTTGCCTTTTCTCCTGGGAGTCAGCCCCAGAGGAGGAGTGGGAGTGTGGCAGACACGCCGGCTGGCGGCTGTGAGCCAGAGCAGGCCAAGAAGCAGAAGACGGGGCGTACCTCAGAGGCTGCTGGACGATGGGCGCCATCACCCCGACCCTGTCAGGAATGCAAGGGAGCACCCTGGAGGCCAGCAGCCTGGAAGGGTGAGTGACAGCATGGGGCTTCCCCGCCCCCCCCCCCACCTTGGGGAGCCTCAAACAGGCTCGGGTCCCCCAAGGCCACAAGCTCTGGGCTCGGAGGCATTTGCTCGGGGCTGGCGGGAGGACGGGCAGGCGATGAGGGGTCAGGAAGTCCAATTACACGGGTCCTCTTTGCTGGTGGCCTGACTCCCCTGGACTTCCCTCAGGGCCCCTGCGCCCCGTCCTCCATCTTCCCTAACTCAGGTCCCACCAAACACCCCTCAAAAAAAAAAAAAAAAATAGGAAGTGGGCATGTGGCGCAGCCGTTAAGATGCCCTTGGGATACCCGCATCTCACATCCTACTCCTGAGTTCAAGTCCCATCTCCACATCTGATGCCAGCTTCCTGCAGGCGTGCACCCTGGGAGGAAGCAGATGCTGTAGCTGGCTCCCCACCACCTGTGTGGGAGACCCAAATTGAGTTCTGGGCTCCTAGCTTTAGCCTAGCCCAGCCCTGGCTATTTCAGGCTCGTGGGGAGTGAACCAGCCAGTGGGAAATCAAACTTTCTCTCTTTCTCTTTCTCTTCCCTGTGTGACTTTTGAATAAATAAAAGTAGAAAGTGAAGCAAACATGATCCTACCGTGATAGAAACAAAAGCCCAGTTTCCCAAGGATGTGTCTTTAGGTTCTAGAAACCTGCCATGAATAGAAAATGGAATCCTATCAGCATAAAGACTCATCTTTAGGACATAGCCTCTCCTGGGACTAAGGGGGCATCTGTGTCACCGCTGCTACTCTCGGTCTCGCACCAGTAAAGATAAGTCCATCAGCCATTGAATCTTTAGAAACACTGCTAGCAAGAAAGGTCAGTACCGTGAGAAAAATACAAGCCCATGATAATACATTTTAAAATCGCTGTCATTTTGAGAAACGCGTTTTTACTGTGGCAAACATATGTCGCTTGCGAGTGAGACGTGGGTGCTGATGAAGAATGAATTCCTGAAAGTTGTCAGAAGCCTGCTCCCTCACCTAGCTATTTATTTTTAAGATAATTTTGTTTTTTAATTGTAAAGAACAATCATGTATGGTGCATAACATGTTTTGAAATATTGTATACATTGCAGAATGGCTATGCACTAATTCACTTACTTCCTTTCTCATGGGGAGAACTCTTAAAATTCACTCTCTCTTATTTTTAGGGCTATGATACATTGTTATTAAACACAGTAACCACAGTGTGCAGTAGACCTCTTGAGTTTATTTCTTCTTTTTTTAAAGATTTTTTATTTACTTATTTGAGAGACAGAGCTACAGACAGTGAGAGGGAGAGACAGGAAGATCTTCCTTCCATTGGTTCACTCCCCAGACAGCCACAATGGCCAGAGCTGCACCGATCTGAAGCCAGGAGCCAGGAGCTTCTTCCCGGTCTCCCACATGCGTGCAGGGGCCCAAGAACTTGGGCCATCTTCTACTGCTTTCCCAGGCCATAGCAGAGAGCTGGATCAGAAGAGGGGCAGCCGGGACTAGAACTGGCGCCCATATGGGATGCCAGCACCACAGGTGGAGTATTAACCTAGTGCGCCATGGCCCCGAGTTTATTCCTTCTAACTGAAATTTCGTATCTGGTAACTGTCATCCCTACAACCCCTCCCCCACAGCCCCTGGTCCCCGTCTACTCTCTGCTGCTGTGAGTTCAGCTGGCTTAGACTCCAAGTCGCATGGGAGATCATACGTGTTTGTCTTTCTGGCCTGGGTTATCTGCTCGACACAATAGCCTCTCATTGCATCTGTGTTGCCCCAAAGGACAAGATGCCCTTCTTCTTCAAGGCCGAACAGTACAGCTGGGTGTGTACAGCACATCTGTGTTGTCTATGTACCTGCTGAGTGGCGCAGGGGTGGAGTCCACGCCTTGAGTATGGCAAATAAGGCTCAGCAAACACAGCAGTGCACGCGTCGCTTTGACACACTGACTTCATTTCCTCTGAGTCCGTGGGACTGCTACATCAAACAGGAGTTCTATTTTAGTGCTGTTTCAATAATGCTACTAAAAATAGAACTGCTGGAGAGAGAGAGAAGGAAAGAGATCTTCTATCTGATGGTTTACTCTCCAAATGCCTGCAACAGGCTGGGCTGTGCCAGACCAAAGCCAGGAACTTGAAGCTCCATCCGGGTTTTCTGCATGGGTACAGGAAACCAAGTACTTAGGCCATCACCTGCCTTCCAGGGCGTGCATAGGCAGGAAGCTGGATGGGAAATGGAGGCAGGACTGGAACTCAGGCAGTGCACTATGGGACGTGGGTGACCCCAGAGGCAGCTTAACTTCTGTGTGGGCAAACGCACACCCCTAATTTTAATTTTCGAAGACCCTTCACACAATATCCCACATTGGCTGCACTACTCCAGAAGTATTTCTATGTTTGTTCATTTGTTCATGTGGTCACTCACTCACTGAACAGGCCCCTACCAGGTACCAGGCAGCCTGGAAGGCAGTAGGTGAACAGGAAGCTTACAGACAGGTAGGAATGGAGGCTGATGCCCAGACCAGTAGAGACCGCTCACTAGGATGGCAGTCAGCCGGAAGCTCTGTGAACACAGCAGGGCAGGACAAAGGGACTGGGGGTGACAGGGTGTGGCCAGGGAAGCCCCGTCTGCGGAGGTGGCACTGCAGAAGAAACCTGAAGGAGGTGAGGGACAGCGGGGAGGGCGAGGCAGGCTGAGGCATGGGCGGGGACAGCAATCAGTGCTGGTGGGCCAAGTCCAGCTCTGGGGGAGCCCTCCCTGGGTGGACCCCCGGCTTGAGTCTGAGTGTGACGAGAAGCCACGGAGGGCTCCAAGCGGAGAGGGACACAGTCTGATTGGCTCTTTAGAACCATCATCCCAGCCCATGTGTATAGCATCACACCCTGGAGCCGGGTGTGGAAGCAGAGACCCACTGGGGAGGTGGGCGCGTAGGTCAGCGGGGTCAGCAGCGGAGGAGGAAGAGAGGGTTGGGCTTGGGACGGACGCCCAGGCTGGGGCAGACAGAACCTGCTGGTGGACTGGAAGTGGCACATGGAAGCAAAACAGAGGCCAAGCTTTTCAAGCCGGCCGCTGGATGACGGTGCGCACCAGCGCGGAGCCGCCTTGTGGGACAGCCGGAGTTCTGTTAGGCAGCTTGGAGGAACCATCCAGCAGAAAGCAGGAAAACAAACCTAGAACACAAAGCTTCCCTGGCAGACGGCGGGCTTCGAGGGTCTGGGGCCAGCAGGTCAGCTGCTGATTCCTGCTGCCACTTCCCCGGGCTGCTTCTGGGTCCCATATGCGCAGCCACCTGGGGCTATGATCGGCTGGACGCGCTTCCGCACCCTTGCAAAGCCCAGCAGTGTCTCCCGCCCTGCCGCAGGAGTCACAGGGTAGACAGGTTGCCTTGGTCAAATTCCACGCAGCAGTTGAGTGTTGCTTGGAGACCAGCTCCACCAGTTAGTGCTGTGGGGGTTACTGGAGTTCCTGCAAGCTGGCCTCTGTCCCAGCGCCACTCCCTGCTGTGAGCTAAGTGAGCCTCTCCTCTGAGCAAGCCAGGAAGCCCAGGAGCAGGGGGCGGGCCGATTCCACTCTGTGAGCTTGGAGAGGGGTGTGCTAGAATGGAGAGAGCGTGATCTGTGGATCCAACAGACCTAGAGCCACCTCCGCCCCTGCTCAGTCCTACCTGTGTCATCCGGGACAGGTCCTTCTCCTTTTGCTTTATCGTGAGAGACAAAGAGAGAGAAACAGATCTTCCATCTGCTGTGTGATCCCTCAAATGCCAGGACTGAAGCCAGGAGCCTGGAACTCCATGTGGGTGGCAGGGGCCCAAGTACTTGGGCCATCCCCTGCTGCCTCCCAGGGTGCACGTTAGCAGGGAGCTGGATCAGAAGCAGAGGAGCTGGGACTTGAACCCGCACCCGGGTACAGGATGCAATCGTCCCAAGCTGTGGCTCAACACGCTGTGACACACACCCGCCCCTACTTTTCCTTTCTGACTCAAAATCTCAGGTTGCTCAGGCCACAGAAAGAGACAGAGAGATAAGGTTGTCGTAATGTTGAATACAAAATCCCCACCCCCCAGGCAGGCGTCCAAGAGGGACAGCTCCCTTGTCCCTTGGGCATCTCGCCTCTGTGAGTTGCTGCTCAGAGAGGGCCTCCCCCAGCACACACCTCGGCTTCCCTTCCACCCCGCCCCGGCCCACCGTGGCTGGAGCGCGCTGCGGTTTTCCTTGTAGAGGTCAGGACCAGAGCAGCGGCATCATTTTTGGGTTCGCGGCGCTCCTCGCTCTCCTGCTGGTCATCACGGCTTCCTGCATCCTGTGCACCTGGAACAAACGGAAGAAGCGTGAGTCCCTTGCCGGTCCTGGGTTGAGACAGAGAGAGAGGTCTTTCATCTATCTGCTGGTTCGCTCCCCAGTGGCTGCAATGGCCAGAGCTGAGCCGATCTGAAGCCAAGAGCCAGGAGCTTCTTCCAGATCTCCCACGTGGGTGCAAAGGCCCAAGGACTTGGGCCGTCCTCTGCTGCTTTCCCAGGCGCATCAGCAGGGAGCTGGATCAGAAGCAGAGAGGTCGGGACCCAAGCCGGCCCCCAGATGGGATGCCAGCACTGCAGGGGCCTTAACCCACTGCGCCATGGTGCCAGCCCCACACCGTGGGATTCATGACCTCGCCTGGCAGTCCTCTAGAGCCCAGCTCGTTTTCCAGGGGTGCGCACTTCTGGGCTGGGGAGCCCTTGGCACTTACCTGACATACTAGCCATGGCCTTGCTCCAAAGGCCCAGCTCACTGAAGGCCTGTGAGAAAGACTTTGCTCTGGAACCCCTGGGCCCAGTTTCCCCTCTCAGCTTCTATCCAGCGAGTCCCCTGTTCCTCCGGGAAACGATTCCAGCCCAGGTCTGCGGAGGGTGGGGAAGGTGCCCCGCTCTGCTCGGCTGGCCCTTCCGTGGGCCTCCTGTGGCCCTTCAGTGGGCCTCCTGTGGCCCTCCCGTAACCTGCGCCCCCTCGTTGTCTTGCAGGTCGTGTACCCTACCTACGGGTCACTGGCATGCCCTCACTGACTCTGCCTCGGCCTGGACAGCGAGCCAAAAATATTTACGACCTCTTGCCTCCAAGGCAAGAAGACCTGGGTAGGTTTTTCTTTCTGATCCCTGAGGCCAGACTGCCCCACGTTCTGCACCCAGAATGCACCTGGCACCTCCCAGAGGTGACCTTCTCTAAGCTTCCGGTCTTCCGGCCCCCCTGAGCGCTTGGTGGAGAACAGGCTGGAAAGACCATCAGCTGCGACTCCGGAGACAGGCCGGCAGGGCTCTGGAAAGGGTGCAGCAGGTGGTCTGGGCTGGGGGCTTTGTTTCTTCTTGAGGAAAGCCGCTGGGGGAGCGCTGCAGCAGGAGAGCCTGGCACCAGCGTCCCAGGCAGGGCTGGGGGCCCCTCGGCAGGAGCTCTCTTCCCAGCCTGCCTCCATGCCCGGTGCCAGCATCTCCCAGCACCGCCGGGTCTCCCAGTGCAAGCTCCCTGGGCCTCTGACCCCCTCCCCACAGGACGTCGGGGCCCACAGGAAGAGGGCCTTGCTCGGGCCCAGGTGCTCCGAGGACAGGCCCGCTGTCTTCAGGAGCCATTCTCTGTTCTTCCAGGAAGATGTCAGTCCAGGAGCATCCGTGTCTTCAGTACCGAGAGCCTCCTCTCCAGAAACCCTGACCCCCCCGGGCACGTGGTGAGTGCTGAGTGACAAGACGAGCCCCTTGGGGGATGGCAGGGCGCTGGCAGGAGAGCCGAGGGGAAGGACTTCTGGGTACCAGAGCCTTCTGGGGCAGACGGGCAGTGTGGCCTCTGGCACTCGCCCTGCAGCCCTCTTAAGTTGGGAAGACGAGTCTCGGCCTCCTTCCTGCCCAGCGGGAAAGCCTGAGGAGACAGGAGCCAGCGCTGGCGATGTCAGAAAACCAGCGAGGCACGCTTGGCGAGCGCACGATGCTAGAACCGGCGCGGACGGGTTTTAGCAGACATGGCGATTCGTGTGTCCACGCTGGTGCTGTTTCCTCCCCAGCCGCCGACTCGGAAAGGTTCCTATGTGGTCCAGCCTGCTGCTGGGGCCTCACGCACCCTGAGAGCCCCACCTTGGGAACCCCCCAAGGGGCCGTGTGCATTGATTTCAGTTACTCTGAGCAGCAGAGACGCCCATTCATCTCCGTGGCTGGAGTAAAAAGCGTTGGCTCAGATGGGGACACCACAGGCCGGGTCACGGGTACCAGGCAGTATTGTAGTTGGCTCCCGGTCGTGGAGGCCGGGCAGTCCCAGATCCAGGGCCGCACCACCACTCGGAGGAAGGCAGCACATGGGCAGGTGAGAGAGAGAGCCAGAGCCAGAAGGCCCGAGAGAGGAGCGGGCCAGCCTCTCATCAGAACCCACTCCTGCAGCATCGCACGGAGCCGCGGGGGGACTCTCCACGGCCCCTCCCCAGAGGCTCCACCTCCCAGCGCTGTTTCGCTTTCCAGCATGTGAACACAGTCAAGCCCCTGGATGGGGATAGCATTGAGGTCGCAAGGGCTGTGTGACAACTCACACCGATCATCCCGAGGGTCTGGTCATCCGGCGCTAAAGGCACCTGCCAGGCAGGAGCCCGAGGGCAGCCGGGTGCCGAGGCACCAGGGACAGTGAAGGGACTGCTTTGAAGATCAAGGTTATGCTGCTTTCCTTTCCTTAAGATGTATGTATTTATTGGAAAGGCAGAGTTACAGAGAGAGAGGGCATGGCGGAGGGCTCACTCACCCACTGGCCCACTCCCCAAATGGCTGCCACGGCCAGGGCTGAGCCAGGCCTAAGCCAGGAGCCAAGAGCTTCATCTGGGCGTCCCGCATGGGTGCAGGGCCAGTCTTCTGCTGCTTTCCCAGGCACCTTAACAGGGAGCTGGATCAGAAGTGGGCCCATACAGGATGCCCGCGTCGCAGGCAGCGGCTTCACCCGCTACATCGCAATGCCCGCCCACCCCAGGCTGATTTTCACAGATAAGGTCTTTGTTGAAAAATTGGTCCCTCTGGCTTCATGGTCACCCTGAGGAGGGGTCTGTGGTCTCTCAGCTTCTCGTACCCAGAGGTTGAGGCTCAGGGACTACACAGAAGCCTCTGCTTCCCCCTCCTCCCTCTCCTCACGTAGCTCCTGCCCCACGATGTCCCCAGGGAGCAAGACGTGTGACGGAGACAGGGCAGCAAGCAGGAGACCCACTGCCAGCACTCGTCCCAGGGCTTGGCTGGGCCGTGAGGGACGGTGGCATTGACAGCACGCAGGCCCCCGCTGCGTGAAGGGCATTTGGAACCAGTTGCCAATCCTTAAAAATGGAAGGCGTTTCACACAGGAAGTCCAGACCCTGAGCTTTTCCTAAAAACCCAGACATTCTGGAAACATCAGACCAGCACCCCTCAGGGGCCTGTGTGCCAGCTGCCCCTGTACAACAAGGAGAGCATTGCTAAGCATTTCTAGGCACCAGGAGCTGTTCAAGTACTCAGACTCGATCAGCACTCAGCGGGGGAGCTGGGGTCGTCACCTCCCGTCCTGACCCCAGCCTCTGCCTCCAGCCACCTGCAGCCCTTCCTCTCCACGTGCTCTGCGGAGCCAAGCTCCCCCCAGTTTGTAACATGCCCCCACCCCCCACTCCCAGTGAAACCGCTGCCAGTGGCCAAAGCCCTTTCACTCACACCTCCCTGGAGGCCAGCGGTGGGGACCAGCGGGAGGGGCCCGTGTGGCCCTGCGCGCAGGGAGCAACAGACACTCTGACCCCTCTCTGCTTCCCTCTCATCACCGGATGTCTCTGCTTCCCCGTAGCCCTCCCAAGGGAGCAGCACCCTGCAGGGGCACGGAGCCCGCATCCCCACCGTGGGGTTCGCAGTGGGTATCTATGACAACGCCCCCGTGCCCCACGTGTGCCAGACCCTGGTGCCCTCGGCGCACTACGGCAACGACGGGGCCCCCAGACAGCGGACGAGCTCTGCTTCGGAGGACGCCAACGACTATGTGAACGTCCCTGCGGCCGACGCGGCCGCCGAGCCCCCCGCCTCTGCCTGCAGCACAGCCGAGCCCCCCGCCTCCTCCTGCAGCGCCCCCGGGTGCTGCTTCGCTCACCAAAGCGCCCAGGGGCTGGGGTTCACCGAGGAAAGCCACGAGGACTGTGATGGTGCCGGCGACTACAGCACTCTCTGGTGTCCAGCTGACCCGCTGAGCGAGGCGGACAGCTCCTCCCAGGCCTCGGACGACTACGTCAACATGGCCAGGCTGGAGCTCTCGGGCAGCCAGGAGACTCAGCTCTGGGCGGCCTTGCAGCGCTGCGGGGATGACGGAAATGTGGCTCCGGCTCAACCGGACGGCAGCCAGCAGCGGGCTGGGGGAGAGGCCACCTCCTCCAGCCTAGACGGCGCAGCAGCGGGCAGGGCGCAGGGTCCAGGGACCCACCTCCAGCCTGTCTCAAGGAGGCTGCTGGCTTCAGGGGAGGTTGTGGCCTTTCAGCCACCCGCTGAGAGCGAGAGCTGTCAGCTGCAGCGCGAGAGGACGTGCAGCGAGGACTCGAGTGACTATGAGAATGTGCTCGCTGTCCAGCCGGGAGGCCAAGACGCTGGCACCTGGCTCCCTCCTGACCAGTTAAGGCCCAGGCCCCCGACGGGAATGCCCCATGACACCGTCTGTCCTGCCAGCTCCTTAGCTGCCGAAGAGCCTCAGGGAGACTCTGGGCCACCCTAGGAGTTCAGCAGATTCCCTCGGTTTGGCTAAAAAAAAAAGTAAAAAAGTAAAAAGCAAAAAAATTAATAAATAAAAAAGCTGCCTGGAAGCAAGGGTTGGGAAAGCCAGACAGGAATTGTCCCCAGGCGGGATGCCGCTGTCTCCGTACAGAGCTGAGGACATTCGCACGGGCACCTCCCGGGACTGCTGGGACGCAGTGGGCCTGAGGGGTTCACCAGCCCCAGTGGGCTGCAAGCCAGAGTACAGACTGTTTTGTAAGCCGGACAGGAGCCAAAGGAAGGAGGAGGAGAGGAGGGAGCAGGCAGTCTCCATGGCAGCAGGAGGACAGCCACCCCCTGCCCTGAGGATGCAGGGCAGGAGGAAGCCCACTTGCTGCCCCCACGGAGCATCTACAGCCACCTGGAAAAGTGTCTGCCATCTCCCAAAAGCAGGCACTTCCGTGGCCCCTGATCCGCTCCTATGAACTGCTGCAAGTGGACTGAACACTGTGTTCACTCAAAAACCTATGTGTGGCCAGTGCCGTGGCTCACTAGGCTAATCCTCCGCCTTGCAGCGCCGGCACACTGGGTTCTAGTCCCGGTCAGGGCGCCTGATTCTGTCCCGGTTGCCCCTCTTCCAGGCCAGCTCTCTGCTGTGGCCAGGGAGTGCAGTGGAGGATGGCCCAAGTGCTTGGACCCTGCACCCCATGGGAGACCAGGAGAAGCACCTGGTTCCTGCCATCGGATCAACGTGGTGCGCTGGCAGCAGTGCACCAGCCGTGGTGGCCATTGGAGGGTGAACCAACGGCAAAGGAAGACCTTTCTCTCTGTCTCTCTCTCATTGTCCACTCTGCCTGTCAAAAAAAAAAAAAAAAAAAAAAAAAAAAAAAAAACTATGCGTGACTCTTTCTAGCAGCTTCATTCATAATTGCCAACAAGCAGAACACACCTTCTATGGGCGAATGGCCAGGGGAACTGGCTATCCACCCCGAGTCCGTTGTAGCCAGCAGGAACGAGGAATGGACGGTTGGCTCACGAAGCAACACGGACACGGGTTAACTTGGTTTTGTTCCGTGAACAGAGTTGGATTTAAAAGTCTGCATCTGGTGTGATTGCAGCTGCGTGATATTCGGGAAAAGGGAAACTATAGGAATGGAAAGAGACAGTGGTGGCCAGGTTTGGGGGAGGAGAAGGGTTGACAGAGGGGCTGCTCGCGGGCATTTTTTAGGATGGGGGCGCTGTTCCGTGCGGTTCTGCAGCGGCAGATGAACAGCTGCGTGCATTTGTCAAGCACACAGAACCGTATGCAAATTTTTAAAAAGTTAACCAGGCTCTCAGGGGACCTAGGATGATACACAGATTGTGACAAATAGATCTATTTGTATATCGTGTTACAAATGAATGACATAACTTCACAGGCGAAGAAGGAGCTGACCTAATTAACTTTGGAAAACAATGCTTTGACTTGAAACTGTAAGATACAGATGCAAACAACTGGACACCCACTCTGCACTCCCACTGGCAAATCTGCATCTTGCAGTCATTTGAGTTAGCAGTTCCCAACTATGTACCTCCTAGGATGGAATAAAAAAGTCAAATATCGTAGATAAGGAGAAATTGCTCACTGTCAGGAAAAGCTGGGACAAATACGCCAATAAGAAAGCCTGTAGGCCGGCGCCGCGGCTCAATAGGCTAATCTTCCACCTAGCGGCACCAGCACACCGGGTTCTAGTCCCGGTCGGGGCACTGGATTCTTTCCCGGTTGCCCCTCTTCCAGGCCAGCTCTCTGCTGTGGCCAGGGAGTGCAGTGGAGGATGGCCCAAGTGCTTGGACCCTGCACCCCATGGGAGACCAGAAGAAAGAAGCACCTGGCTCCTGCCTTCAGATCAGCGCGGTGCGCCGGCCGCAGCGGCCATTGGAGGGTGAACCAATGGCAAAAAGGAAGACCTTTCTCTCTGTCTCTCTCTCTCACTATCTACTCTGCCTGTCAAAAAAATAAAAATTAAAAAATTAAAAATAAATAAAAAAAGAAAGCCTGCAGTGAGCCCCGCGGTGCTGAATTGGAGGTGGGGATTTGACACAGTGGCTGAGCCACTGCTTGCCAAGCTGGGTTTGAGTGGCAGCTCCTCCAGCTTCCTGGGAGGCAGCTCCAGTCCTCGGGTCCCTGCCCTCCCACAGCGGAGACCTGAATTGAATTCTGTGTTCCTGGCTTCAACTTAGCCTCGCCCCTGCCTCTTGCAGGCATTTAGGGACTAAACCAGCATGTGGAAGATCTCTCTCTGTCTCTCTCTCTTCCTCTTTGTCTCTCTGCCTTACAAATAAAAAATGAAAATAATATTCAAGAAGAGAGTTAGAGACAGAGCATGAGCTCATATTTTATATATGCAAATAGATAGAGAAATATATAGGTGAATTGTGTATATGCACTGTCTAGTATGCATACGTGTTTCCTAGTTCTGAGAGGACCCAGGAGCAAGGACACCCAAGTAGCAATAAGAACACCTGGCACTCAAGTCTGGGTTTCTTTCTTTCTTTCTTTCTTTCTTTCTTTCTTTCTTTCTTTCTTTCTTTTTTTACAAGCAGAGTTAGATGGTGAGAGAGAGAGACAGAGAGAAAGGTCTTCCTTTTCCATTGGTTCACCTTCCAAATGGCTGCTACAACCAGCACGCTGCGCCAATCCGAAGCCAGGAGCCAGGTGCTTCCTCCTGGTCTCCCATGTGGGTGCAGGATCCAAGCACTTGGGCCATCCTCCACTGCCTTCCCGGGCCACAGCAGAGAGCTGGCCTGGAAGAGGGGCAACCGGGAAAGAATCCAGTGCCCCAACCGGGACTAGAACCCCAGGGTGCCGGCGCCACAGGCGGAGGATTAGCTAAATGAGCCGTGGCGCCAGCCCAAGTCTGGGTTTCTAAATACGATTCTCCAATATAAGGAACCACAGCTTCTTGGAGAAATGGCTGGTTCTACACTAGGGCAGGGAAAATCCAAGATGAACATCTTGTGGAAAAGAAAAGCAAAGCAGAGAGAGAAAGGGAGGGAGAGAGGATATGGAAAGGAGCCATGAAGGAACAATGAGAATGAATGATTGTCGTACTGATTAAGAACCCAACAAACAGAGCAGATATCCACGAATCCTTACCAATGGTTGAATAAATACAGAAAAAAGGACGGCTATTCCTTACAGATGAATTCCAAATAGCTGTAGGAAGAATGAGGGAAATTGAAAACTCACTGTTAAGATACCGCAGTTGGTGTGGGCAGACCCCCTGACCAATGCTAGAATGAGTAGTGACTTTTAAGGAGAGGCAAGATAGTCGCATGGCCTCCAAGAATCGCCCCCAATGTGTGTTCATCACCACGGGGGTTGTAACACCCGCCCGCAAGTCACATGATGCCTCGCTCGGAGCTTGGCTCCCTCCCCTCCAGTGTGGGCTGCACTCAGTGGCTTTTTCTAATCAGTAAAATATAGGAAGAAAGAGGAAAATTACAAACTTACAGCGGAGAAATCCGGCAGACACCACCCTCACCGAGGGACAAAGTTAAGTCTGCAGAAATCAGTCATGTTGCATCATGCGCCTCTGATCTGATCAAAATTACTTCCCCAAACCCATATAACTCCAGTCTTATCGGAAAACCCACACCGAATGACATTGCACAAGCAGAACCCTTGAAAATGTCAAAATCATGAAATTCACGGAAAGACAGAAAACCTGTCACAGATCAGAGGAGACCAAAGAGAAATGATGACGAAATGCAACATGGTGCCTCGGGTTGGATTCCAGAACAGAAAAAAAAGAGCTTTAGAAAGACTTGTTTAATGTGAAGTGTTTAAATGTCCATGTGTTAGCTGCTGGTGTTGCACCCATGTTCATCGCCTGGTGTCTACGCCTAACATGAGGGAAAGTTGAGGAAAGAGTTTAGAGGAACGTGGCACTGTTCTGTGACTCTTCTGTAAACCTAAAGCATCGCAAAACAGAGAATAATCGTGAAGACGGACAGTGGTGAAAGTGAAGGAAAGCGGGTTTGTCCCACGTGAGCAGATGTCAGCCATTTGTGTGTGTGTGTGACGGAAAGCAGTGCTGGTGGGGCTGCTCTGGCTGTTAGCGTGCGTGCCCCTCTCCCCAGCAACCTGCTGTCCCGCCCAGCACACTGAACGTAGCTAGTTCTGGGAGCTTTTCACCTGCTCAAGGAAGAAAGAAATATACTCAGTTCTCATTCTCAGTGGCTCTAAAAGTTGGGTTCCTGGCTTCGGTGTTCTGTAAAATCTCTAAGAACACTGGTTTAGAAAAGCACGTGTTGTCCTCAAGGGAAACCCAGAGTTGGCTCTCTGTCAGCTTTCGTCCCAACCTCATCAGCCAACCAGTACGCAGCTCGCTTTCTCCATGTTTCTGCCTAAAGAGACACTGACTTTATTTACTGCCTTAACGTTGATTCATTCACCGAAGCCACAACCAAGCACACTCGCCTCTACATGGAGGACACTGACCTGGAGCCCATTCTCACTGAACACATCACAGTCTTTGTATTTGGGAACCCCAGATTCCACTACGCTTTGGAGGCCATCAGAAACATGAAATTACCAACAAAAAGCACAAACCTGCAAAAACTGGCACTAAATGGTCCACTCATAGGACTTGACTTGGCTTTGCTCAGCCGTGAGCGGCGCGTGTGTGAGGGTCCAGGCAAGAGTTCCCGCTTCAAGTCTGCACAAAGACCACAGGTGCAGACAGCACTGATGCTGGGGTTGTAAAAAATTTTAGCAAGTGGGTGAATTCACCGAGTTGACAAGTAGTATCCATGGTGTTTACACAACCTACAGAACAAGAAGTGTGCAATTGTGGCGGTTCCACACGAGCAAGCGCTGTTACATTTGCATTTAAAACTGGCTTAGTGGCCGGCGCCAGGGCTTACTTGGCTAATCTCCACCTGCAGCGCCAGCACACCGGGTTCTAGTCCCAGTTGGGGCGCCAGTTCTGTCCCGGTTGCTCCTCTTCCAATCCAGCTCTCTGCTGTGGCCCGGGAAGGCAGTGGAGGATGGCTCAGGTCCTTGGGCCCTGCACCTGCATGGGAGACCAGGAGGAAGCACCTGGCTCCTGGCTTCGGATTGGTGTGGTGCACCGGCCACAACATGCCAGCCGTGACGGCCACTTGGGGGGTGAACCAATGGAAAAGGAAGACCTTTCTCTCTGTCTCTCTCTCTCTCTCACTAACTCTGCCTGTCAAAAAAATAAATTAATTAATAAAAAAAAAAACTGGCTTAGCACGATATAAAGACAAATGACAAAGTCCATGCTAATGATCGAAAATGTGAACTTTACCTACAATCGCATTAACCAGAAAGGACAAAACACTAAGACAAGTTAAGAAGCTGGAAGAGTGGAGAAAACGTTCTATTATAGCACCTTCAATGATGCTGTATTTTTTTTTTTAGCAAGAGTCTCCCATTTTCACTTTGTACTGGCCCCATACATCATGGAGCCAGCCTGGTGCCCACAGGCCCACCTTGCCTGCACACAGGTGTCTGTGCTCACCTGAGATAGGGAGGTCTGAGCTCCCCCTTGCCACCGAGAACACGTGCCTTCTCGCAAGAGCTCTGGCTCCCTCCGCCCTTCACCCTCCCCCAGCGCACTGCACCCCAAGTCTAAGTGATGGCATCTTCAGTGTCCGCTGGACTGACAGTACATGGCCACCCCCACCTGGGATAGCAGACCCCTGGGAGGCGACACAGGCCCGGCCCAAAGGGCAAATGGGTGGCCGTTCTTCCACCCACGTGTCCGTCTTGCTCTTCTATCAGTTTAAGATGTGGATCTCAGTTCCCAAATCTATTGAAGTGACACAACCATGGGTGTTCCAGAAGGAGACGCGGGGGAAAGTTGTATAATCTCAGAGCAGTAAAGAGCCTTCCAAACACGCACCCAAACCCAGACTGCTCTCCAAGGACGGACTGATAAATCTCACTGCTGTGTTAGTTTGCTGTTGCTGCTGTAAAAACTTAACACAGGGACCAGCGTGTGGCTTACCGGGTTAAGCCACTGCCTGCAGCGCCAGCATCCCCTATGGGCACCAGTTCAAGTCCCAGCTGCTCCACTTCCAATCCAACTCCCTGCTAATGGCCTGGGAAAGCCTTGGAAAATGGTCCAAGTGCTTGGGCCCCTGCACCTGCGTGGGAGACCTGGAAGAAGCTCCTGGCTCCTGGCTTTGGCCCAGGCCTGGCTGCTGTGGCCATTTGGGGAAATCAATCTCTCTCTCTCTCTCTCTCTCTCTCTCTCACTCTGCCTTTCGAATAAATAAATACATCCTTTTTAAAAAAGAAGAAAACTTAACACAAACCGCAAACTTAGTGACTTAAAACAGCGCTACTGTTTGCAGCTCTAGACTTGGAAGTCTGGGCTGAGCCTGCTGGGGCTCCCCCAGGTGCTGGCAGAGCCGTATTCCTTCCCGAGGCTCCAGGGGAGAAGGCCTCGTCCAGCCTCCCAGCCCCGGAAGGCGGCCTGCGTTCAGAGCTCACGGCCCCTTCCTCCCTCTGCTCCTGTCTTTACACCCCTCTGTAGCCTCTCACTGTCTTGCCTCCTTGTAAGGGCCCTGAGATTACACTGGGCTGGCGGGGATAACCCAGGGGGAGTCCCCCATCTCAAGGCCTTTACTCCTACTTGCAAAGTCCTTCTTTACATGCAAGGTGACAGACCCACTGATTCCAGGGATTCGGAAGGGAATGGCTACCAAGAAAATGTAGCATCTCGGACGATGGCACCTGATTATGCCTGAAGCTCTATCGTGAGATTCAGAGCAGCACAAAGACATGAGCGCAGGCAGGCACGTGCATGTGTCTGGGTTTCAAGAGAAGAAAGGAAGGTGTGGGAAGAAGCTGCTAGACCTGGAACATGTGCTGGTTTCCTGATAACGCTTGTTCCGATTATCTATCAGATTACAGC